AGATAAAGCCATACACAGCTCACGAGCTTATTGCCTTTCCCCACCCGCCTGCATAGGCAACAGCAAAAAGAAGCCAGCCATTGCTAAGGGCTGATCCCGCATTCCTGGCACACCCAGATCGCAGGGAGAAGGAAATGGGTGCTTTGGACAGACTACGCATGCAGAAGAAGATAATCCTCCCCCTCCACTTCTCTCCCACCGCCCCTGGATGCTTAAATAATGAATCTGGCCTTGGAAAGGGGGTGACATTGGCAGCACTCTGCTCTGCCACACATTGGGAGAGCAGGCTGTTAACACTGATCGGAGCTGGCAGTGCCTGCTCTTGCCTTGGTCCCAGAGGGGGAATTAAGGGAAAGAACATGACGTCAGCGGTGGAGAGGACCGACATCCCACTTGTCCAAGGCAGCCGGGAGCATCTTCTTGGTGCTGCTAACACCACCTTGAAGGAGAAAATTAAATGGGTCTTTGGAGACCAGGGCTCCTGTGAAGCAGCATCCCAGCCGGCTGCGCTTTAGCACTGAACTCCATGGAAAGAGAGACGTACACACATCAAATGCTTTGGACAAGGCCAGAGTTGCAAGGCACAGGCAGACCCAAGAGACCCTCACAGCTGCCTCAGCGAGCAATTCCTCCTCAGGAAGTCACTGCTAACGGAAAGGAGAACTTTGAAATGCAAAGCACCCGTGCCCAATTAACCTTGTCGCTATGTCCTTTACTGCTCAGGTCCTGGTTGCAGGGAGGCTGAACTGAACCTGCAGCATGGGGGGGCAACTGGTGAGAGATCATTTTGATTGCACCGCTTGGCAAAAATAAAAAAAAATGGTGGCAGTTTTCCTGGAGGGCAGGGGCACGTCCTTCCGATTTCAATCGCGCCTGTGTAGCCTCTGCTGCAGCCTTGCATGACGCAACCAGGACTGGCCCTAGACTGACGAGCCAGCTGCCCAGAACTGCCCACTCCACACACGACAAATCATCCCGTCTCCTCCCACATACACAGGGTCTAATCCAGCTTGCAAGACTCCTCTCCTTGCAGCCAGGCTGTCCCAGTTCAGGAATGACACAGCCTTCCAGGTAGCATGGACAGCAACTACAAGGACGGTAGAGGATGGGATCCATAGGGAGGAGAATCTGGTCTAAGGAGCTTTCCACTGATCAGGGTTGTACACATTTTTTTGGTACTGATTGGGGAGACTGCAGCTAGCAGCGAGTTTGCAGGTCAGCAGTCTTTTGAAAATGAAAAGCTAACTCGGAAGGGATTAGTAACTGCAAGAATATGAAATGTTTGTATGTCAGGCTCTCCTTGAAAACAGGAGCACCACATTAACTCTGGCTTGGCGGCTAATGACAAACCAGAGGCACATTGAGATTCCAGTTCTAGGACAAGCTGGCAGAGCTAAGACTGCACCTTTTATGTCCAAGATGGGCTCTTCCGCTAACCAGTGCCTAGCAGGCTTGGGATGTAGGGGCCAATCGTAAACAACCCTTCCCTCTTTCTCCCAACCCTTCGAGTCTCTCACAAGCAGCTCGGCAGTAGCTGTGCCGGAAGCTCATTTTGGAGCTGGCAGGAATAACCCACAAATTAGTCTTCCAAGGGTTTGCAGCGGGGACTGTATCAGCCGCAAAGCGTGAAAAAGGCACAATGCTGCAGCACATGCGTGTGAACACAGAAGTCGATAGGAAAATCTACATACTAGCAATTCAGGCCTGAAGTTTGTGGTAGAAGTGGGACAGTGTTTGAGAGACAGGCTTTCTTTGCTCCCACGCAATCTGCAATAAACATTCATCCAATAGGCTTACTCAGCAAGTCGTTTGCAAGACAGTCCATGAGAGAGCATCCCAAACACAACGAGGCTAGGCTGCAAGTGCTCCATCCATGCTAGCTAAATTGTGCATCACGCAGTTTATTGTAAGTGGGCCTTTTCAGCAGCTTTTAAAATAAAGCAAACCCTGTGTAACTCCGCTCTTGCGAGAAATGCCAGATTCCTCTAGGTCTGTGCAGAGGTTTGCCTGACTCCCTGGATGCCATTTCCCTTCCTGACACTTATGCAGCATGGCAGCACTAGTTGGCTGAAGAGATGGTACTTTTCCACCCCAGAGGTGGCTGCATTTCAGTGGAGGAGGAAGAGATTTCTGCACGTATAGTGTTTGCAAAGCGCTCTGGAATCTGTACACTCTTGTGATGGTAAACCCAGAGACAGATTTAATGCTCTTATTAACACAGCTCACACAGTTGGCTCCAGACTCAAAGCTCCAGCACTGCTGGGCTCCTCAGGTTACAATACAATGGCCTTAAAGGGACACATCGCAGGACACTTTGGCTATACAGACATGAGGCGTTAACATGGCATCACCCATAATCCTGTTCTGATACTCCTGTTCTATTCCTGGGCTGGGGAACTTCTAGGTAAAGATAAACGAGTCGTGGCAGCTGGGTATTGGTGGCAATCATAGTCACACAGTTTGGTTTTGCCAGTTTGTTGGTAACTCCCAAGTCCTCTCAAACAGTCACAATACGAGCTTCTCAAAACCAATCTCTCATGGGACCACCATCCTCAAGGCCATAACGGAAGGGTCGGATCTTTACCCTCTATCACCCAGAGGCATCATTCCCAACCTGTTAGCCCCGGACTCCAAAGTGACATGAACACAGGTGTTGATTGGATAGAAAGGTTTTATCAAGATTTTTCTTAAAGTTTACATTTTTAAAAAAGGAAGATTTTTACATGTACATTACAAAAATTGCAAATAAGGATCTTCATCGGGGGAGAGGGGAGGAGAAGAGACTATAAAAAAAGCAGTATGAAATCTTGGCTAAACAGCACCTGACAGGAAAATAGAAAACAGGCACTACTAGGAAAAACAGAGAAGGCCAGATTCTGAATTCAGATACATAGGTGTAAAGGCAGAACGACTCCACTGAAGCCAGTGGTGTTACTCCTGGTTTACACTGGCGTAACAAAACAGAATCTGGCTGTCAATGTTCACTCTGTGGGGTAAAACAAGTTGTTAACCTCGGTGCCAAAGACATACAGTGTTTTGCTGGTGAGACTTTAACAGGGTTTAGTTTTTGATACTTCTCTGCGTTCCTTTGGTCTGAAAGGGCGTAACCCCACTGCTCACAACCCAGAGAATCCTTTCCCGCACCCCTTTTCCTTTGACACCGCAAGACTCATTTGGCTCCTTATAAGACATGGTGCATCTCTTCCCCACCAACACAACCTTTGCACAGAGTTGACCCCCAGGTTACAAATGGAATAATTACTCTTATAAATATATTTATATCATATAGCAAATAAGGCACTTCAGAAGCATTATGGCTTTTCTAGTTCTACATCATTCTAGACAGGAAAAAAAATTGGTTAGTTTCTAAAATGAATCAAAAGGAATAACGTTAATACAGTAATAAAATCTGATCCACATCCCACTTCAAGGCTTTGTAAAAGAACAAGAGAGAGACAGAAAACCTGACCCAGGGTAGGTATGAGATGGGCTTGACCCATCCAGGACACGTACTTTTAAAGCAGGCATATTTAAGAAGTCCGTGGACTGCAATTCTCTCTCTCATGAAGTTATACTTTACAGTTTCTTGGCCATTTGGGGCTTTCTAGAGCCTCTTCCCTGGATCTGATCTGCTGCACTGTGACTGATAAGGAGAGGAGAACCAGTGAAGGTCACTGACTGCAGATGAGCCCCCAGGCTGAGCCCTGGAAAGCTGTAGTAGGCATACCCTATGTGCAAGTGTGTGTGGGGGGGAGGGGAGAATGCTGAGAGAAGCAGCCAGGCACTGCAGCTGAGAAGAGAGAGAGAATACTTAAACCAGGATCAGAAAGGAAAGACAACCCGACCTGTTCAAACATGCTCTGTGAAGTGACACCGTGAGTAAGCAGATCCAATGGCAAATGACTCCCAATATAAGCACTGGCTAGATGGCTGCACTGGATTTGCATAACCCGTAACCTGGGTTAGACTGGACAGACATACAAAGGCGTGCCTGAACACCTATTAAAAAAAAAAAAAAAAAGCAGACTCCTATTCTCATCCCCAGATTTGTTAAACACTGGCAGCTCCCTCCACTGTGCTGTTTGGAATGTACCTATGGTCATACTAAATAAGCTAAGACCACGCTAAACCAACAAAGTGGCCAGGAGGCTGTTCAGCCAAGCACGTGTCCCTTGCATGAATGGGTCGCAGCCCTACAGTTAGAGCCATTTGGGTACAACCATCTTGCAGAGAGGTTGTTCTTGGCACCTATTTTCTTCCCCTCCCACTATCCCCCCCCAGGTTGAGGACCGATGTTTTAGATCCACTCCTGAGGACCCCAATGACTTTAAAAGCAGAATTGTTTTTAAACTAGACTTGAATAAAGAAAAAATGGTTCCTTCTATTGATGGGATCGCTGATCAGCATAAGTGGGCATTGCTTCTTTATGGCCACCCAGGACAAAGGGACAGGCTTTATTGCATAGATGTTAAGAACACTGGGCAGAGCCAGGAGACTGGTCACAGAACCATCTGGCACCAACCCTTTCTCCACAATCCAAATGGTGGCTTGCACACAGATGGATTGTCCATTTAAGGTTACAAGGGATAGCACACCTTTCAAAGCTTTGAATGAAAGGAGTATTAGCTTCCCCTTCATGAAATGGGGCCAGGTGGAGCCAAAGCAATTTAAAAAGAACCCAAGTTTGGCATTTTTGTGTTCCTAATTTCCACTGCCCTGGAGTGCATTATGGCTTACTGGCGCTGGAGGACTGGAACTAACATTGCTGACATGTTCTTGTCCCATCAGAAAGTAGTGTCAGTTTCACTGCCTATGGGCTTGTCTTCACTACGGGGGGTAAGTCGACCTAAGTTACGCTACTCCAGCTATGTGAATAACGAAGCTTAGGTCGACATAGCTTAGGTCAACTTACCCTGGTGTCTTCACTGTGCTGCAGCGACAGGAGACGCTCTCCGGTCAACTTCCCTTACTCTTCTCGGATACCTGGAGTACCAGGGTCGACTGGAGAGTGCTCTGCCGTCGATTTAGCGTCTTTATGGTCTTCACTAGACCCGCTAAATCAACCCCTGCTGCATCGACTGCAGCAGCATCAATCTCCCCATAATGAAGACCAGCCCTATGCCCTCTTAGGAGTCTACCTTACCCACTTGGCTTGCTGCCAAATATAGCAATGCAGAGATTTAATAAATTAACCTCACTGGTGCTTTACGGTCAAACTGGAACATGACAACACCTGCACCCAAAAACGTGGTCCCCAGCCTCTAGAGAAACCTAAGATCTAGGCCACTTCATTTATTCTCTCTTTCAAACGTTAAAAAAGGGAAAGATATTCAAGAAAATAGCAAGAATCCAGAAAAGTGAGAATTTAAACACTAAGAAAACAAACCCAAGAGGGTTTTTTTTCTGGCAATATGGCAACCTCTGGCTGTATCTGGTGTCCCATGGATTAGTGAAATCTTTGTTTTGATACACAAAAGCAGTAATAAGGCAAGTCATAGAGGGAAGGGAAGGAGAGGCACATGTTGGCAAAATACTTTAGAAAAGTAAAGGCAGAGCTGCATTGTCCCTCCCCCCATAGTTGGATCCATGAATCACATGGGCTGTGATCTTTGTGAAAAACTTAGGAATTGTTCTTTTATGTCACACTGACGGAGACTTGGACAGTCAAGCCCAGATAAGATATTAAACAAGCACCTGCTACACAGAGGTCTTTGTATCTATCCTGTTGGAGGTGCTTGCACTCAACTTTAAAAGGTAATAAAAACAATAAAACCTAAGTTAGCTAATCTAAAATCCCCATTTCCACCCCTACCTGTAATGCATCTCTGGGAGCATATCAGGAATTTGTAAGTTTATCTGGTAAAGGAGATAATACAACCTTTTCTGAGAATTAACTACTGGACTATGGATGTGAAGTAGTGGAAAACCACTAATATGGGCTAGATGTAATGTTACCGATGGCTGACTCAGTCCACAGAGAGACCCTGCAACATGTAACCCTCTCCCCCAGGATAGGAGACAGCAGCATAGGCTAAATACTGGCATTTTCTGCTGCTCAATTCCCTGCATAAAGTGCACCATCAACCTCAATGAAAAGCACCTGTATTCAAACTGACCAAAGTGCTGCCCTGAATAGGCCAAATGAGACCCTGATGCTTCGCCTCCTTGCCCTGGCTGGTAAGTGAATTGTAGACACACTGAATGCCAAATGGGCCTGAGGCCTATTTGGTGCTCAGAGCTCGCCTCTTCCCACCCAATACCGCTGGTTACATCTCCTGCTCTAGACACACTGCAGAGCTCACTAGGTAACAGATGAAAACCTTCCCAGCACAGCAGAACCTAGCAAGCCCCAGCTGTCACTGCTTACTTCCCACAGCACACCAGTAGCAGCAGGGAAACTTCCTGACTTGGTAATGCCCTTGCACCCCCGGAGTGCGCAGCCAGCCAGGTTAGCGTTTTGCTAAGGCTGTGTCTCTTAGTTCAGCCTCCTTCAGCAGTGGTGGAGGCACAACCCAGGCTATTGGAGGATGTAGAGGCAGCTTTTAAAGAAAACCTAACCCCCAGGTTTCCATGTAGTGCACCCTGCAATCCCACAGCTTGAGAGAGCTTTTTAGGCAGGTTAGTTTTGAAATGGTGGAAAAATGATGCTTCCATCACCAAAAAAAAAAAAAATGGATTGTTCAAAGGGTTATTTAATAATGGGATGCACTAGAAGAGCCATTTTAAGCCCATTTTCTAGCACTACTCCCAATATTAACTGGAGAGGAAGAGAGAGTTATATCGACTATATCCTATATGCTGCTGCAGTAAGAAAACCAGCTTAAAAGGCCCTTCTGAAGAGCCTTTTGGCTGCAATAGGGTCACTGATTTTTAACTTTAAAAAAAAAAAAAACAGACATCCCAAAGGATCTTTAACCTTGCTTTGTTCTGTGGCATTGCAAATCTGGTGGTTTACGGTTCCTTTAATGAGCAAGCACCACTCCCCCTCCTGCTGGAAAACAACATTGCAACCCACAGCATCTCGCAGGAGACCTTTTGGAAAGGCGAGTGCAAGTCTTGCCAAAGCCAATGGTGATTTGCTGAAACCCCTTGGTACATCTTCGGTTACTGGAGGAGACAGGAAAAGCTAAAAGGCTTTGGCAACCTAGGAAGTACTTGGCTCTTTAAGAAAGGGGTCAGGCTAGCGAGGAGGAGCCTGGGGAACAGGACCATGGTTAATCAGACCAGTCGTCGCCAAACTCCGAAGAATCATCCTCGGAGTCGCTGTATTCCACAGCGATGCGGCGAGAGAGGATCGTTGCCACGTCATTGCCCCCAACGTCCCGCTTCTCCTGTTCCCGCTGTTCCTCCACCTTGCGGAGCTGGAAGCCTGGCAAGGAGAAAGAAGGCAGAGAGGTGGTCACTCAACGGCTGGATATTTCACGGGGTCTACAGAGAACTGTTGCTCCAATGCTGTGCTCTGAATAGCCCTGGGCAGGGCCTGATCAATGCCTGGATTGCGCTGGGCCAGCCTGGCACAACGACTGCACAGAAGGGGGCACACAGGTCAAACCACTGACCAGCCTGGATAGGTTTGGAGCAAGGGCGACTGGAGGAAGCCAGAGGAGCTGGCTTCCCACACTCCGCCCAAGCGCTATGTGTTGCTGCTCTAAAGGCAGTTTGACTGCAGCTTGGGAGCTGCATTGATTCTTGTGGGGCAACCTGCAAAGGTTTAAAACTAGAGGGCACCCTCATTGGGGTGAAACAGGGTGCTGAGATTCTCTTTGGGTTAGATCATCCACAGTAGGTGTGTGTCACAAGGAGCAAGCCAGCAGCAGTGCTGCCTATGGGATGGATCCCGGGCCCTGGAACTTCCCTTAGAAGAGACAATAACTAGGCTTATGGGAAAGAGGATACATAAAAATCACAGCCAGGGCTTACCTTGACGGATAGCTGAAAGCAAGTCACTTCTGGCATCAGTAACAGGAGGCAAGGAAGATTTTGGCTTGGAGGCCGAGGAGTCTGGAGGCAGAAGTGGAGCTGGTGCACCATCCATGCCACTGGAAGGCACAGGTGGGGGACCAGGAGGGGGAGGAGGGGGAGGAGGGGGAGGCGCACCATCTGTTGGCTGAGGTGACGGTGGTGGAGGCACAGCGAAGTATTCTGCTGCTGGAGGTGATGGCGGAGGAGGGGCAGAAAACTCGGGGTGAGGAGGGAAGGAGGATGGAGATGGTGGCGACGGCATCCCTGAATTGGGAAATCCTACAGGAGGAGGTGGCGGGGGAATTCCTGACATTGGTGGTGGGGGGGGAGGAGCAGGAGGTGGAGCAAAGCCAGGCCTGGCACTGGATGGGGATCCAACCGGAGGAGCTGGTGGAGGATGGCTTGGACTGACCAGGCTGGATCTTTTTTGTCCTCCAGAACCAGAACCTCTTTGGTTATCTACTGGGTAGCTGTTGCAGGAGAAAAGAGTAATATTGGGGTGGGGGCAGAAAGAGAAAGAATACCATTAGCTTTGAGCTCAGATTAGATTATATAAACTCAGTTTTGGGGCAACGAGAGAGGATTTTGTCCAGCTATCACCTCCAACTCCCAGTTTGTACTGAAATTCCCCAGGGTCCTAGTGCTGACTATCCTGCTGCATTACTCTTGGCTAGGAGAACAGAACAACGGACAGCTGACACTGCAGCGGAGAGAAACGCTATCAGACGTCCCAGCAGCCAGCACAGTAACAGTACACTGTACGAGCCAAACACCAAATCTCTCTCTGCCAGAGGCCAGACTGCCCTCTCAGCTCAGAACCTTCTAGCGCAACGCCAGTCATTCTGTAGCCATTCAGCTGCTAAGCAGGGATGTCTATCGAGGTAACCGTTAGTTCTTGTTTTCTGTGCTATGCAAGTTCGTATGCTATTAACACATATTGGTATAGACCCAGTCACTGATTCTTTACTGCAGCACTGGTGATGATTTGTCACCTCTTGTCAAGGGTCTAGGGAAAAAAAGGTAACGGGATCCAATACATACTGAAGGGAAATATGGATTCATAAATGGCTGAATAAACTTTCCATTCGCAGGAAACACTAGTGCCCAGAAAGTGCTATGTTACTAGCTTACATATTGGTACAAGGAAGCTTACATTGAATGCTAGCAAACGGAATGCTTTCGCCTCAAAACCTAGCAAATCTAAAACTCCCTACGGTGTTCACCTGATTCACCATGGAGACTATTGGTCGTTTTATAATGAAGGGCTGATTTACCTCCACCTTTTTTCTCAAATAAGAGATTCAGGGGGCAGCCATGCCTTTAAGTAACTGCATAAACCAGGACAAGTTTTATCTGAATCACCCATCTCCACTGTCACCTAGAGAGCTGCTGCAGGATGGAGTGCCTGTCTCAGGCTGACAGATTGTATTTGAAACTCAAACTCACAAGCTATGTTGCCTTTTGATACGTTTTAGTCAAGCTAGTAGTATAGCATTTGTCAGTCACCTATTCCCTCTATATATTTACTTTTCCCACACTTTTCTGGTTCCTACTATTTAAAAGAAACTCTAGTTAAACCTCTGTGACTTGAGCCAATATCAGGCCATTCTGGAATTGGTGTGTAATGGACCTGATCCTGCAGAACATTGATGTCTCTGGGATATGAGGATGCTCTAGACCTTGTAGGAGACGCTAGGACCCCAAGAACTCGAACTATGAGGTCTCAGAGCACCTACACCTTGCACTTGCAAAGATCAGAGGGGAAAGTGGTGACAGCGTAGGAACCCAGTAACAGGGACTGTTTCTGTGCAGAGTGCTGTTGGGGATGCAGGACCACATGCTCTCAAGCATTTGTATTTGAAGAGGGAGACAGATCAATTGGACACCCAAAACTGGGCCAAGATTGTCTAATGGAACCCTGATTCTACGAGGATGGGCGCTTCAGCATAGTAAGTATACATGTGGAGAATTCACAGAGTAAGAAAAGTGGGATAATGCTCTCCTGTTATGCAGGGTATTATGGGAAGGTTGGGGCATTAATTTTGAGAGAGAGCTGGACAAATTTAAGAGTGTGATTGTCTGATGGGGTTGCTTGTGATAGTAGGGGGCAGGGTTAACAGCCCTGGAGCTCGCTTCCAGTTTATGTCTTATGTTCCTAAAAGCTCATGGTTCAGGGTTTCAGCCAGTCACCTGCAGTGTTCAGAAAGGGATTCCCCTCCCCTTCCGAAACATGTTCTGGGGCGTTTTTTAATCTCCTTCCTCTGAAGCATCAGATACGGCCATGGCTAGAGAGGAGATGTTGGACAGGAAGGGCCAGGGTTCTGAGGTGGTCGTGAGCGTTTTCGCTCCAAGGTCCTTGGTTGGCTGGTTCTTACTCACATGCTTAGGGTCTAACTGATCACCATATGTGGGACTGGGAAGGAATTTTCCCTCAGGTCAGATTGGCAGTGACCTTGGGGGGTTTTGCCTTCCTCTGCAGCGACCTCCCCACACACGCTGCCAGGATCATTTGGTATATCTCACTTAATCAATTCCCTGCCTTTGGGGGGGGTCCTTGGGCACTGGTGCATCTTGGTCCTTCCTATTCTTTGCCTGTGGCATGTAAGAGTGTAGTCTCCTGTGGGATTTAATTTTGGTTATTGGATTGTGTGTGGGGGTGCTGGAGGGTGTTGGTGGCCTGTGTTGTACACAAGGTAAGACTAGATGATCTGGTGGTCCCTTCCAGCCTTAAACTCTATACTGATGGGTGTTCTCTCACTATGACTCTTACTTATGTTAACGAAGGGTCATAAGCTTTGTACACTTTACTGACAGACAGGTTCACTCAGGTCTCAATACTGTACTTATGTTAGTGGTTTCACTAGACCAGCTAACTCCATCACTTTGCACCACCTACTATTTCTCTGTGGCCGAATGGGTCCCGGAGGATTACCTAAAATCCAAGGGTGGTGGAGGCAGGTTGTCCTCTGGGTAGGATGGAGATGGTGGTGAGATAGAATCAGACTGCGGTGGTGGTGGATAGTAGTTCATTTCCATGCTCTCATCTGAGCCAATGCTGCCATTCTGATACACCATATTAGAGGGATATCTAAAATGAAAAACAACAATGGAAAAGCGATACCCAATTTCCTCCGCACCTCCAGCACGGAGCGTCAGGGAAACAAAAACAGGAATACAGCCATACAGGCTGCTCAATCACAAATAGCCTAGTTATTAGAATCGTGCCGAAGTGCCTCACTCCAAAAGTCAGACTGTAAGCTCTTCTAGCAGGAATGTCTCATATTCTGTTAAAAGCCCAGCATAATGGACCCCTAGTCACAATTTGCAAACTCTATACGCTACTGTAATAGAAATCATTAATTTAAAAGGAACACCATGTGGCTCCAAATCATGTATTTGTACATAAAATGTTTCCTGATCTACGTTTCTTGAAGCATTTTAGATGACTAGAAATTGTTTAGATTTTTAGACATTTAAAATTCACTTTCACTCATTATGGCTGTTTATTCTCTGTCTCTCTCAGTCTGGACAATGAAAGTTGACTAGTTATTCTCACTTTGGTTTATTGTTAGTAACTAGACAAGTTTATTTTCAGGTTTTTACGCATCAGCACAGTAATTCAGTGCGTGGGTTGCCAACACTGCAAGAGAATATTTGTGTTTTTTAAAACAAAACAAATATTTCTGTTAGTTTTAGGGTTGGTAAAAGCTTGCTCTTAAAGCTGGATTATGGGCAAAAACCGGACTTGTCAGGTCTCGTTGACATCGCATACTCTCCATGGCAGCATAAAAGTCCTAATGTAACCATGTGCTCATTAGGGCAAAGGCTATCGCCTCCTGCATGTCCGGAAAGCACCTAGCACGCTGTGGATGCAGTCATAAGCAAAGTTCAAAGTATCCAAAGTTGAAACATGCAGTGTTTTGTTTGGGCCATCCCCAAGTTTGACAGTAGAGTAAGATCACCCGAAGCAGTGAAACAAAAATAAACACTGTTCAAGCCTCATATCAGAATCTACAGCGAACTAAAATGCATGTGAGAATGTGTAGTGGAAATAGTGAAAGCAAGGAAAAGCTGCTGTCGTGCAGTCAGATTCCTCCTGCCTGGCCTCAAGTCAACTGACTCGGCTATTAAAAGAAAAGCAGGTTTTATTTTTAAATCTAAAATGTGTGATTAAAAATAAAGATTTTCTTAAGTGAAAAGAGCCACAAATGGCAAGAAAAGAGCATATTGGGAAGCGCATTTTGGGAATTCAGTTTGCTTCCCGCCAGACTGGTGTCAAAAGTTAAATTAAATCCTGAATAGAAGGCACTGAAGAGAGATCGGTAGCTGAAAAAACTTGGATGGGAGGAGAAAAATCCTAAATTTTGAACCACGAAGCGTGGCTTATGAAAAATCTGTAATAGAAACAGTGCCCCACCACCAAAGGTTAAGAGAGCCCTTTCTTTGTGTGAAAAGAAACTGAAACATAAAGCAGCTTTGGGAACATCTGCCTGCCCTACTCACCGGCTTTCCTCACCAGGAGAGGCTACTATATTAATTCAGCCCATAACTACAAGGAGACAAAGGCTACTAAAATTATGTCACTAACGCATTGAGTGCTGCTGTGAGAACTTGGGAGAGAAAGGTCAGCATCACCTTACCTGCTGATTTCTTGTGGTGGGGAACAACCCTCCCTGAACCCCAGGCAAGCCTGATGCCTATGAAGCACGCTCAGAAGAGCTTCGTGGCATGCTTCCAAACCCACAGGAGTCTGCACTCCTTCTATACCACATCCCCATGCTCAAATGCACTGTTTCTGGCCCTTGCTAATACTGTTCTGGGCCAGACAAACTGGTGACCCAGCTGCAAAGGGATGAGTGATGATGGGGTAAAGGGACTAAGTCCATGACATTTCTGCATCTGTGGGATAAGGGAGCTGAGAGCAGAAGATTTGTTTCTGAAGACCACTTGCGTCACCTTGTTTAAACTGTTTAGATTCTTGATTTATTTTGCAAGTTTTAAATCAACAGACAGATTTACCTTAGAGAATCTGATTAGCGGTGATATCGATCCACACTGCACAGCAGATCTGGAGAAACTGCAGAGCAGGGTGAATTGCATTACCACCAACAATGCCAGACTGCTTCCCCTTCACGGAGAGCTGAATAAATAGCTAGATTCACTTACCCAGCAGGTCCTTGTCTGTCTTTTGACTCAACAAACTCCTGTCCCATTTTCAATTTCTCCCACTCCTCTTTTCGGGTTTTGATTTTCCGCGGATTCACGTTCCCTCGGTTGGGATTATCCTTCTTCTCTTTCTAGAGAAGAAAAGGAAAGAAAGACCCATTAGAACTTCAAACTTGTTTGGGTTTAGTCTGTCCTTATTTCAGCTCACTGGGAGGGGAGGAGTAGAGATAGGGCCAAATAACATTTAAAGAGATTACAAAAATCTTGGGATTCTTTGAGACTGCAGTAGAGTGAATTTAGTACTGGTGGAAGGATCCAGATTTGTCTATATGAACAGTTAATGTGTGGCAAGATGGGGCATCAATCTACCTTGAACTAGCCAGCTGGGCACTATATGTTCATGTGAACCATTAGTGCAGGGCAGGTTCGTGTGAGGTAGATTTACACCCCATCTTGCTGCGCACTAACTGTTTATCTAGACAAGCCCTCAGACTGAGATACTAACGGCCTCTATCTACAGAGCAGCTACTGCACAGGTAGTAGCACAGGGATGAACTCCCTCCCCCTGTGCTCCAACCAGTGTGCCGCAATTATGGCCAGGGAAGATCTTTTCTGGAGTGGAAGGGCAGATCAGTTTCCCAAGCCTAGGGCTTGCCTAAACGGCACATTACTGTGCACCAAGCCAAGGTGTGCATCTCTAGCGCACCAGCTTGCCAACTAGTAATGCCCCATGTGGAAATTGCTACAGTGCAATGAAAGTCCCGGAGTGCCACAATATCAACATGGGACATTACTGCGCAGCAACTTACAATGTCGACAAGCCTTTATTGCATCTTTGGTCTTTGTGTTGAGGCTTCCAAAAGGAAGCCAGTTAATAGCAACTGGTAAGTAGGGTTTTTGTTAGGCAGAAACCTGCCCACAACAAACTGGGCTAAAACCAACCCCATTCCAAGGATTCCAATAGGCCAAAACTCTCTCTTATACTCCGATTGGAAGGTCATGATCTACTTTGAGATCTGATGTTACAATCACTTAAAATGTAAGTCAGATTTCCCCAAACTAAACCTTGCAGGTATAGTAAATGAATCCTTTTATAATGCAATTTGCCTTGTAATTCACTAATGTTAAAAGGACACTCAAGTGCAGCAATTGGGCCAGTGTGGTGGTGGGGTTTTTCTGTTTTTGTAGTTTTACATGGCTTAAACACTTCCATATGTTAAAGTGTAACTGGATTTTTAAACCTAATCCCTTGTTTCCTTCAAAGGGACTGGTGATGATATTCCGGTTACATCAAAGCGTACCAAAGTTAATAAACAGGGTGCTTGACTACTGAGCAGAGATGCCTGCGAGATACTGCAAGAGTACTGAAGAGGGTCTAAGGTTGCCCTTGACACCCAAAAGACAGCACTTACTGTGTTAATGCATCGAACGCCAGGAAACAGATGGTACAAAGCTACAAAATGAACTAATGTCACCATTCAAACTGTGTGAAATTCAGAAGAACAGATTTTTAAAATCTCTCCATCTTAATAAGCAAGGATAATAGTAACAGGCAACAAGGAATTTTTTTTAAAAGTATAATTTTAAACTGGACCATATCCCCTCTAAAGAACCCAAGTGAAAGTGACAACTTGGATTTTGAAGAGAAACTGTCTCCTGTGAGTCTCTGTCTTTTCCTCCTATCTTGTCTTATCTACTATTTCTTTGCTAGCATGCAGCAGTGATGCCCCATCCTCTCACCCTGTGCTTCCGCTTTTCTTTCATGATATCCTTGGTGTCCTGGAGCATTTTCTCTTTCCAAAGGTCAAAGAAGTATGAAGGGTCTGTGTAGAATTTGAGTGCCTCTTTGCCATCATCCCTGGAATAGAAACACACACAAGGAGCCAGTCAGGTGCTTGTCTGATGCCCAAAGATTTCAGACACTCACCAGGTGTCAATTTCTATAGATCTGAAACAAGAGGCCAAACATTTTGTACTCTTTCTCCGTCCCCTTCAAATAGAGGCCTCTCTGCCCTTGAGGAGCCACCCACTCCACCCGCTCATTCAAAACCACCACCACACCTCACCTAATTTGAAGTCACCACCGCTTCTTAGCCATGGCTGCATAGTTAAAGCGCTTGATTACAATTCTGAAGGTTGCGGGTTTGTCTTTCACTTGATCTCACACTCAAAGGCCATCTCCAGTTCACCCAGCTGCAAAAGGGTACCTGATGCATTGGGTTAGGGCAGTCAGATGTGATGCTGGCCACATCACTCCCTTGTGTACCACTGGCTAGGACACTGATGTGCCCTAACCGCATCAGCCTGATGAGCCATGGCTCCGGGGAACTCTGACCACTCCTCCTGCAAGGCCTTGCACCACGATTCTCCTCTGGTTTGGTGATCTATAGTTTTGATTTCTGTACCTTAAGTATGGTGCAAGAACTCCACTGAGCAGCCACTCTAACAATTACAGAGACAGCTGCAGATGTCTGTCCCCGCACCCTCTTGTGAAACACACCCTCTCTCTCTCTCTCTCTCCACACATGCCCCTTCCCATCCTTCCTCTCCCCATCTGTCTTTTCCAGATAGCCTGCTCCACAGTAACGTCAAAGGATACAGGCCTGAGTGCATGCACCTCCAAATGCTGAACAGAGTTCTTTTCAGCGATAATCTCCATCCTGCTCACCCCCACCCACCAGACTGGGCTCCTGCTACTTCCTCCAAGACATATTACACAATTATGTACTGGGACTTTTCGGCAAGTTCCTTCCCTCCCCACCCACCCACCCGTCTTTTCAGAAAAATATTCTCCACTTCAGGAACCCCAAGTCAGACCAGCAGCATCCTTGAAACTCAGGAGCGTGCATTCCCATGCACACCCTCCTACTTTGCAGTACAGCCGCATCTCACAGAAGACAGCTGCCTCCAGCTATCTGTAATTACTTTTCACCTGTTCAAAAGACATTTACGGATGTGGGCTAAAAAATATTCGTACTCCGACCCCCTGCGCTACAACTATCTTCAGCAGTGACACTCAGACCTCAGTGGTTCAGGAGCTACCCAAAAGAGCCACAGTTGTGTGAATTCATAGTTTCATTTACTATAGTGCTATATATTCATATTTAAACAGTATGATGAGGAAACAGTTAGTTGTTTTTATATATAATATTCTCACAGCAAAATGACTGACCAAGTATTATTATTTTATCAACTACAGTTGGTTAACAACATAGTAAAAACATCCTGATTGGTTAATAATTAAATCTCACAGTGTTTCAATATCATGTGCTGGAAAAAGCCGTAGGAAACAAATTGCGGCTCTCGAGCCTCAGTCCAAATATCACTGATCTACAAGATGACATAACATGGCTAGACCGTTACGGAGAAGGGCTTTATGCTGGTTAAACAGCCAGGATCTAAGCCGAGTTAGTCACCTGACACCAGGAATAGACCAGATAATGCTCAAAATCTAAAGGAGTCTGCTGCACCCATTTGGGTCAATGCCACATGCAAATTTATGTCCTGCAGTTTCCAAGAAGGCTCTTGGAAAGTGGCCATGAGATCACACAGAGAAGCATGAGAAAATACTTCATATACAAAACACCTAGCAATGTTATGCGGTGCCATTCAAGACTTGTCTCCCTAAGGCACCATCACAAAAGCAATAACATAACTATGTAATTTTTCAGCTACCTTCATTTGTGCAACCCTAGAAGCAAAACTACAAATAATCCATCTAAAGAACAGAGAATGCCCGAGGGACTCTAGTTAGGTTACTCCATTTCCCTTAGGGACTAGTGCTTCTTGATTAAGTGGTTTGTGACCCTGGCCTTGGGTGAGGACCTTTCTTAGCTAACTGTGGAGGAGACGTTCCCAACAAGGGAAAAAAGGAGCTAAAGAGATGCTGCAGCATTACCTGTAAGGGGAGAGAATGTTGAGAGGTGGTGGAGTATTGCAGATGCCGTATGTTTCAAGGACAGGCACCGGGAGAGAGACTCTGTCAAAGAGCTTCTGGTCCTGAGTGGTGGAGCTTTTGAAGGCCTTCCTTGTATTAATGCCTTGTAGGGACACTAAGAAGGAGGAAAGCGATGGAAAGAGAAAGTGAAGGACGGTTCGACCCAGGTGATTGATACACAAGGCCAAGTGGCCACATTTGATTTCAGTTACAGTTCTCAGCATGCTCAGCACTTTCTATGGTTAGGTTCCTTTTTCCCCCACAATACTCTTGAGAAGTGTAAAGAAACTCCAACCCTGTCTACACTGAGATCTGAAACCGTTTCAATATGGCTTTCAAGAAAGGTGCTAAGGTGGTTTCAAATTTCAGTGTAAACACAGCGTGAAAATCATGCTGCCAATCTATTCACTGAATAGCCAGCCACTGGACATGGAGACTTGCTAGTGACCAACTCCAGCAGAAACAGACTGGTTTGGAACCACCCCACATGTCACTAGCAAAGTGTTTTTCAAGGCAGTAGGGGAAAGAGTCCCTGTTAGTGGAAGGGGAAACACCTGAGTCTCTAGCGCACACAGCTTCAAACTCATTTCAAGGCCATGAGCTCTGCTGGTTTGATGGGGATCTTTAGCCTGCTTGGTCTGCAACTGCTGCGCTCCGCTCCATTACCTTCTTCCTCTTTGGGATCCAGCTGTGTGACCTTGACTTGCAAGCGGTCGACCCTCTCGACTAGAGAGCTCACCCGAACGGCAAAGGTGTTGGCCTGAGTAAACAGCTCTCCAAAAATGTCCTCTGCATATTTACCTGGAATATTCAAGGGGCTGTATTACTCTTTGAGCTCTATTATTCTTTCCACCCCCAGCCCTTAATACTTGAGTTCTCCTGATCTCCCTCCCCACACACACCCCCTGCTGCTTCTTCCACATTGGCATCAGCAAGCTATTTACTAGCCTTTACAAAAGCGAGATTTGTTATTTTCAAGTTTGGCAGTGTTGATACCACCCAAGATATTAGCATAGAGGGCGAGTTGATGCACCACTCCAGCTAAATGACATCCTTCTAAGGGATCTTTAAACAACAATGAAACACAATTGAAGCATACTTAAGTCTTGAATAAAGTAATAAACACGGGTCCAGCCAACTTGACAGCATGCTGGATTAGTCTGCATCTGATTGGCTTGCAGTCCCTTTAGGGTTACATGATGTTCTGTTTATTAACAACCAAACATAACTAGATTGTATTGCTGTATGGCACCTCAAAAGGCTCCCAAATTATAAATCACTGCCTTGCAGTAAGGCCTCCTCAAGGGTAACTGGCACCTATTTTAGAGTTCATTGTATTCTAGAACTATATGGTATATTCAAGTCTTGACCCTAAAGTCATAGGGGTCATAGACATTCACAGACAAGGGTACTGACTCGCGAGTTCTTTCAGATAGAGCAGCACCTGAAAGCCTGATGCTTTCAAGATTATCTAGATCAAAAATATAAATAAATAGTGATTGCTACTTTCTCTGGAGTTTCTTAAATGTGATGATCCCTCTGTAAAACCTCAGACTGCTCAGTGAACAACCAAGACAAATGATGTTACTATTAATTCTTTGCCCTGCGGTAGCACCGATAAGCCTCCACCATTGTGCTGGGCATAGTAAAAACATAAAACGATTGTCCTGCCCCAAAGAACTTGCAATCTCAGTGGATTCAGACAGGTGGGGAGCACAAGGAAACAATGAGACAATATTGGCCATAAGAGGCAGCAGTCTCCCCATACCAGTCGCCTAACTATTCCTCCACCAGAATCTGCCCTCACCCTGTCTTGTGCAGAATCCTGCCTATCTAAACATTTATGGCCAAGACTGTCAAAAACAGAAACCCGAAGTTAAGCTTCTAATAAATGGCCTGATTTTCAAGAGCACCAAGTAGCCAATAGCTCCCCTTGAAGTCAGTGGGGGCTGTCAAGTGCTGGGCACTTTTGAAAAATCCCAGTCAGTCAGTCAGGAGCCTAAATAAAGATGTAACTTTAGAGTCCTTTTTTTGAAAATCTTGGCTTTTAGCACAAGTCATATGGGTAAAATGGAAACTGCATTTCCAACAGCTGATTCCAGAAGGAAGGAGGGGAAAAAAATACATCTAAGTTAGGCTATCATTCAAGGGCAGCTGTCTCCATGACACCTACGAACATGAGTAAAGAGTCTGCACTTTGAAGCAATTCCAAGCTCAAGCCCTTATCCCTGCAGTCATTTTATACCAGGGTGCTAAACCTCTGTGTCTGAGTCCTAGAACCTAGCCCCGTGGCTATGTTTTCTATGCAGGTTGTGCACAGTCCTCCCTCTGCCTCTCTTGGTATATGGGGTTTTAATACAGGGACACTACCTTTGCCCTGTTGACACGTCTTGTCACTTCCCTGTGTTAACTCATAAGAAGATATTCATTCCCTCAGACACAGGAGTCAGACAGATCTCATTGTAACCAGCTTTCATGAAGCATCCTCTCTGTTCTACCTCACCATAAGAGCAACTCACACATTTTACAAAGGATGCCACAATGAAAGGAGGGGGAAGGTTCCTCTGTAATGTAATTTGACAGACCTCACAGCAATAACCTCATACAACAAGGTTGTTATGTGTTTCCCTTTTAATGAGATCTGGAACCCATTTCTGCATTTCACAAGGAAAAGACTACAGATGTTGGGAAAAACTGAACAGTTGTTGAGCAGTACACTTTAAATATACAAACACGGTTATGTGCACTGGTCTCTGGGCTTGGGTGTATATTTATTCCTCTAATTGCATAACTGTGTCAACACACGGTTACTGTATAGGATCCAGCATATGCTTTGTATTTCATGCACATTTTTGGATGGGGGCAGAGATTAGTTTTCAGGGATTTAGCTGCTTGATTGATTTTACTTCAAGAGCAAAAATTACAATCAAAATTATCTTTATCATGCACTGGCAGGAAGACAGACTGAATGATTTAATAGGCCTTTCCCATTTCTAGCTTCTCTGATTCCACAGAATTAACAGAAATGCACAGACTGCCTCTCCAAAGTGCTACCGGCTGTCATAGTAACAAAGGGCAAACTCACTGGAATATGAATGCTGCACAAGTTTTATGTTTGTGTCTTTGTAAAGAGGTTGTGGTGTACTAGGCATGGCTGATTATTCACTTGACAGGTCTGCTGTCACTTACTGAACTCTCTTCGGATTACTACAGTATTCAGCACATGAAGAAATGGCATATTCCCATTTTCAAAATAACGCACAGACAACTAGGAGAGGAGCTTGGTCATTTGGGTCTCAACATTCTGCAGTAATTAGCCCAAAGACCATAGCACTTACAATTCTGTCTTCAACCCTGGGGATGCATACAGGAGAAGATGCTCAATTTTATTTCCCTCCCTCCCCATTACCCTCAAATGCACAGTGATGCGCATGAGTGTCAATATGAACAGTCTGTCTCACATGAGCTTCCCCAACAGCACTCCTGGTTGTGTCTGTGATTGGTCCTCCCCACACCCCAGAGAGAGGCTTCCTTGGTACCCTCCTGATAAAGGAACCAGGCTGGGATTTGGCTTCCAGCACTCCACTCTCTGTTCTGAGGGATAAGCAGAGGTGCTTTGAATATAGTGAAATGCACAAAGAAGGTCTAAGCCTGAGGGATATCGCTGGTGCTCTGTCACAGTAACCCACAGCATGCCTTTTGGATCTGGATCAGCTTACTCGCTGTATTCGGGATTTAAAGAGCTTTACCGTCCTCATTTCATGCACACAGGATGGATTTTAAGAGAACCCTTATGCTATGTGACCATCTCAGGAATCACATCTAACTATGGAACAGTGAGGGGCAATTGACAATGGATGGGTAGACTGGTCTTATCCATGACTGCACACTGATATTTTTAGCAACAGACTTAATGCAAGGCCTTTTGGTATCAGATGAGAACCGGGAGGCAGCACAGGGGTTTTCGTGACAGCAATGTGCTTTCACTACTGTGCCTGGAATCCTCTCACCAGTGTTCACACTGCACAAGAGAAAGGGTCTATCTTGTGAAGGAAACAGAGATGCATTGTTTAATTTCACTTTAGGACCTATAAGTATGAATCCGTTTCTCAAAGCATTTGCAGGTCTTATTTCAAGGCCAATGAAGCAAATATTGAGCAAAGGGGGATTAATTTGAATCCAGAAGGTTTTAATGGAGAAAAAAGAAACTGGTACAGGCACAGCAATTCTTACCATTTATTTCTGTTATAAAGCTTGGGCCCATGTTTTCACTTTGCCCCCCATAAGGCTGTCTGCCAACTCAATGGAGAGCCGAACCACCAGTGGTAACCATTTGTGCCGCTGTACCAACATGCAGCTTGCAAACTCCAATATCCCAGAGGCAATTCTTAGCCTGAACTGGGGACTTTCAGGCTTGCAATGCAATAAATGTAGCGCAGGCAAACAGGCCAGAATCTGTGTGTGCATTTTGATTACCTTTCATTAAAAATGATCAATTGTAGATTTAAACACAGTTGAGCTACAATTAATAGCGCATGCAATTACAGGTGCTTTCTCCGACAAGGTACTGGCCACTCTGAGAGCTTCCCATTTTACAGCCCTGAATTATGCTTCATCCTTCCATCTCCAATTTTGCTGCAGCTCTTCCATTCTCCTCCTCTCCAATTTTCTTTTTGTTGAGGAGGAGGTTGGAGAAGGACAGGAAATGAGCATTAGAGATTTCTTTGGGAAATATTTTAGCATTACCCAGGGAAGGCAGATGGGGGAGAAATAGGAATACAAGAACAGAAAGGGAGCTAAATAAAGAGCACTAACGACTCCTGAGGGCAGCATGCAGGCTCGCAGTGGTACTCACTCAGGCTGCCCAGCTGTCGAATGACATTTGCCAGGGTGATGTTGGTCATGCATTCCAGCTCACTTCTAACGCTAGGCAACGTCTGACGGCACAGGTGCCTTGGCTCAATGTTCCTCGTTACTAACGGCATGGTGGACCCGCTTCAGGCAGTGTTCTGAAAGATGAAAAACAACCCAAAAAAGAAACAGGAAAGGATTACTCACCCACAAATTCCAGGCACACCAGAGCCACGATGTTCATTTTCCTGCTCTGAAACAGCTTTATGTATAAGGCATCTTTTTCCCTCCTCACCCTTATAAAACTGGTTCTTTGAAAATAAAGATCCTACTGTTCTACAGCTTGCAGTGGAGAAGACGACCTGATGGCTCAGGTGTACAGGCAGCAAAGGAAAACTACCCATCTTAGCTGAGCAAGCAAGGGACTGTTTACATTACTGCTGTTCCTGCACCACCCTTCCCATTGATGCATCTGCACTGAACAGTCTCATTCCTTCACCAAATATTGCAGAACATCTAACGACAGCTACTGTGAACTTTTCCATAGGAGCATTTTAACATGTCCATGTTCTAACCAAGAATGTTAACAGAAGTTAGCACTTCTGTTATGCTAGATACGCTGACATGTACACTCCAGCCCTCCTCACCAACAGCACAGACAGAGAAGGCTCACAAGAGACAACAGGAAGTGCTTGCAGCTGACCAGGAAACTTTCTGGTGACTGTTTTTCATCCTGCAGGCTGTGCCCTTCCCTTGTGAGAAATTCCCACGTGGTCTCGTTTCTACAGACCCATTGTTTTAGAGTTAGTAGTTTATCACATTGGTAGCTTTATAAGGATATGGGCGAGGGGGGAGAGGAGTAGAGCCCAATGCTGAAAGACATCAAAATTGATTTTACTACACACTGCGAGATGGAACTTCCAACCCCAACTTCCAGTTCTTCTAAAATTTACGGAACACAAAAGCTTCTGAAAGTTATCCTTCAGAAAATGGTGGCATGTGTGTCTGTTGCCTGCCCAGTACTTTATAACAGCAAAATCTCCACTGCTAACATGCCTAACTGTTGAAGCAACCGATTAATTCTCTTATACCTCCTACCTGCAAAAGAGAAACAAAACTTTAACTCCTGAATAGTGGAGCACAGCACAAGCAGTTAGATACATCTCCAAAATTTCTAACACAACAGCAAATATATCCCAACTTCTTGATTAATTTCAGAAGGAAAACAGTCTCTCTTGTAGGTCGGATGAGAAACAATGCTATAGAAACAGATGCCTCCCCTTGTGATGGACATGCTGATCTGCTCAGGATGGGTGTAAAAATAAAACAGGAAGCTAACAGCTTGGGGAACATGGCTTCCTGTCACCCACAGCAACAAACCAAGAACCATAAAAAAAAAAAAAAGAAAATCAGCTGTTTGCACTTGACTCTGAGCCACCTTTTGATAGTCTGTGGCAGCTGGCAGCTTATCTTTGAGGTCCAGGAGTCCTTCCTGGATGCTTTTCTACCAGGATGTTAAAAAGAAGGAGTGGGTATTATCTCACCAATTACCTCACAAACCAGATTCTGAATTTCCAAATTTGACCGGTTAATGCAGAGGAGTTCAAGGTCTGGAGCACTGCAGGGTATGCCAGGTATAAGGATGCTATGTTACAGTACCACAAAACTCCATTGTAAACCTGTCATTTAGTTCACTTGTCACTGTGAAACAGTAGGTTCCAAAAGACCAAAAAACCTAATTAAAGCAATGTTGATGAGCCAAACCTAAAACCCAAGAAAAGCAGGAAAATCTAACAGGGCTGAAATCCCTCCTTCTTGGACCTCAGTATGGCTGGGTAGCGTAAAGCAGTGGTTCTCAAAGCCGGTCCGCCGCTTGTTCAGGGAAAGCCCCTGGCGGGCCGGGCCGGTTTGTTTACCTGCCGTGTCCGCAGGTTCGGCCAATCGCGGCTCCCACTGGCCGTGGTTCGCCGCTCCAGGCCAATGGCGGCTGTGGGAAGCGGCGCAGGCCGAGAGATGTGCTGGCCGCCCTTTCCGTAGCCCTCTTTGGCCTGGAGCGGCGAACCATGGCCAGTGGGAGCCGCGATTGGCCGAACCTGCGGACGTGGCAGGTAAACAAACTGGCCCGGCCCGCCAGGGGCTTTCCCTGAACAAGCGGCGGACCGGCTTTGAGAACCACTGGCGTAAAGGCCATAAGATAGCTAAGGACAGAGTGAGCTAAGGAAGGACTTCCACCATTAATTCTAAATTCCCTGCATTTACTGGACTAAAGTCAAACCCTTCTAAATTCTTTTGTCATGTTAGGTTTTCGTGCTTTAGCTAAGTCAGCGTTTCCCTGCTTCCTCTGGTAGCACCCCATAACAACAGCCACACCCGCAGCTCGCATATGTAAGCTTAGGTAGTAGCTAACTTGCTCAGGCTTCTCCTGTTTCTCTGGCACTGACTCATATGAGCACATGTTGCTTGGCCCCACAGAGCTATTTGTGGGCATCCCACCGACCTAGAGCAGGGAGTAACCTTCTGGGGAGTGGGGAAGCCATTGGAGGAGAGAGAGCAAGAAAAAATTAAAAACACAGGAAAGATACTGAGAAAGAGACCAAAGAGGACAGGAAAGAAAATGAACCCTCCC